CCCCCTAGCGGCAGAAGCTCGTACTACATCCGGTTCGCCTTCTATTGACACAGTCTGTAAACTTTCCGATCGCACCTCGTATACCCAAAGTATATTTTGTAGAATCAGATTTTTTCAGACAGCTGATTAAGTTCATATGCAGAAGATTTAATTAATTGATACAAACCAAAATAAAATCCGACAAATTTTGTTTGACGACACCCAATACCAAATTTAATAAGAATCTGTTCAGTGACAAGTAAGAATTTCCTATTAGGCATTTGTTTTTTGTATTCCGTGTAAGAAACGTGTAATTGTACGTGAGGTGCTTAGGCTCTGTTTAATTTGCCAAACATCGAAGTCACAGACCGAATCAAATGAGCAGATTATAAAAATATACGACTGCATAATCTTAAGATGAAACAATTTCTTTCATGGAAAGAAATTAAACAAAGGGCATAGTAACAAATTACGAAAAACATTTAGTAGGAAGTTGCCAAGTTTTGTGAGTTTCAGTTCAATCATTTATGGAGCTATTGATGGCCTGACGATGGAGGCAGTAAGCGCCTCCGAAACGCCCGTTAAATTCTGTCATCTTCAGACTCACCCCAGTAAGAAAATGAACTGTCAAAAATTTGTCATCTATTAAATATATCAGTAGCCTAATTTCATAAAATCTTTTCTTAATTTTAAACTTTCTTGAGCCTTGGACTGCAAGAATTTCTGTTTAATGTTCCCACAAATGTGCCGATGAATTTTAGTAAACTCCCCCAATATCAAATTTAATGGCAATCCGTTGATATTTTTACAATTTGTCACATTAGAGCAGACGAATTTTGCTGTTCTGATAAGACCCTTTTCAGAGTTTAAAATTCACCTACCTATAAATAAAGCCTGTGGTTCCCTATCAGAATCCAATCACAACGCATTTATCCTATAAGTCACAGAAATAATCCAGATTTGTGCTTACCAGTGTTTTAATCCCTGCTTCCTTAAAGCAACTGTAAATCCGAAGTAGCTCCCAGTTTGTATTTTTGGATCAGTAAAGACTCTAGCATATCGCCAGTTCAAATTAAATCCATCTGTAATAATAAATGTCACGAACACAAAATATGATGCACAGACAGAAATCCATCTTACATCCATCTTCATTAAAAGACACGCGACGGAGTCACGACTCAAGATTTGATTAAATATCTACAAGGAAGTTAAACCATCCGGTTAGAGATTAATTTCGACATAATACCACATCCGGCAGCAGTTGGTTATACTTGCGCACAAAACATTGCTAATAAAATACCGTCATTGGTATTCATACAAGACCAATATAACTAGTTCACACTCTATTTTTTCGATAAAAATTGTGTAGGCATTTCATATTTCTTCCACGTGTGCTATATGTTCCTTCAATTTTTATTCTTATCGATCTGATAACAAGTAACAAAATGCATGTATTAAACCCTCTATCATGTGACTTCCTGTGGTTCTTTGCAATTTAATTTTCGCAGATTTAAATATCTTCTTCAGGACGATGTTTTCGGATACCATCAGTATGTTTCCGTAGTTTACAGTCAGAAACCACATTTCGTACACGCATTAAAGCAGTGGTATTCAACCTGGGGTACGCGTACCCCCGGGGGTACGCGGAGACATCTTAGGGGGTACGTGAAATTTAAAAAAATATATATTATTTTATGATAAACACTGAATAATCAGTAATGTAATTTGTTTAATTTATTTTAGATGTAGATTATATACTATGTATAACTTGAATTATACACCAACGACTTTGGGGGTACAAAGTTGAAGAGAAATTATATCTGGGGGTACGCGAAGAAATCTTAGGGGGTACGTGAAATTATTTAAAAAAAATATATATTATTTTATGATAAACACTGAATAATCAGTAATGTAATTTATTTTAGATGTAGATTATATACTAAGTATAACTTGAATTATACACCAACAACTTTGGAGGTACAAAGTTGAAGAGAAATTATATCTGGGGGTACGCGAACAAAAAAGGTTGAATACCAAAGTTTTAGAGAACAAGATAAATTATAACATCGTGCATTTTAATCTTTGGGAATGGCGAACGTTTGTGAAATACCGTATTACTGAGTCAGAATATATTTTGCTCCAACATTTAAATAAAAACGAAAAGATTTTTAAACAAAATTTTGATGATATATTTAGTTAATTTTATGTACTTTATTTGCAAAAATTTATATTTTTATAAGTCAAACGCTGTTACATTTGAGGTTCTTGTAACGTAGGCCTGCGTATGACAAACAAAAACAGAAATTAAACTTACCCAAGGTCGAGTGGATATCTAACAAGAAATCTGATTGAAATCCGTTCGGTAATTTCGAAAATGAAATATGTTTTGGAATATTTTACTTGGATATTTATCCCATTTGTAGCTTTTCTATTAGATGATTATGGTTTGGAGTGGACATTCTGTCTTCCCTATATTTAATATTTCATTCGGAATTTGCATGGTTTGTTTATCGAGTTGTGTGATTTACGTATATAAGTTTTCGTCGCGTTCGTAAGGAATTTTTTTTCAAAAAAAAATACACATTAACTTCATTTTAGTTTGTCTGTCCTGACAGCTATATATAAACTTCAAATCCAATTTAATGACCTTCATAAAAATTTTAAACTGGAGAGATTTTACTAAAATTGAATGGCATACCCCATTTGATTTTCGAAATCGATAACAAAATAAATGTTTATAGTGCGTCACCTCGTAACTCGAAATCCGTTAAGACTGCTTTTGATTCACGTTCATGTGGAGCTAACTAACTGCTCATTTGTCTATTTGGCATTTAATTTAAAATTCAGTAATTAAAAATATATCAGCAAGATCATGGCGAATATGCAAAATGTGTTAAGAAATGCACAAGTTTCTTAAAAATATTAGTATCGTGTTTATATATCTTCGTGATCTGAATTCAATTAATCACTATTTCCTTCGTTTTAAGATGATGTGTAATGTACAATATAGCGTTCAATTAATAAATTAACTATTATCACAAACATTTGAACTGTTCAAGATATAACAATAGGAATCATGGGTTATTCAACATAAGGATTAACATTATTAAAAAATTAGTTTTCATAAATACTACAAAACGACAGACGTGCATACTACATTCTTTACTTGGCACAAATATTATATTATTTACAGCTTAACAATTGTTTTCCCGAGTCTTTCGGTCAAAATAATTGTATGACTAGATAGTAATGTATTAATTAACAGCAGTTAGTTTACACGACATAAATCCACTTTTACGTCTTCAGTACAATGCCTTCTAGGATACACGATTGATGTAAGGATAAGTGTGGATGGATGAATAGATAATTCAGATGTGCTACATGAATAAACATGAGATTACAGACGAATTAATGAATATTCACATAATTTTAGATTCACACATGAATTCTGAGTCCATACAAATAATTAGGGTATTCTCATGCGCACTATTTCTGAGGAGACAACGAGTTTTACGAGGTTAGTTTAAAGAAGCTGGATGTGTTTTTCGAATACTATTTTACGTTCTTCCTCCTGAATCAGGCATAAAAGTAATGTAATTTTCAATTCTAATACTTTACGAAAAATCTGTTTATCATAATTCCTTTCCGCGAAGTGTCCCATGTCCAAGAATGAAATGACAAATTGCGTAAAATTCCTTTCAGCTGTTCGAAAATTGTGCCCCATCGTGATATTACGGTGTGACGTCATGACCTTTCTTGAGGTGAGTAGAACTTTCGAAAACTTGCACCGAATATGGCATATCCCTGTTTTTGTAAAGTGTTCTGACAGGAATAAGCTACAGGGCAGTTGAAGTACAAATTCAGAATCAACTTCTTTAATGATTTCATGTTTCATTGTCATTTATAAGACGAATATCTGCAAACCGCAGAGACAAGTTCGTGCAGAGAGGCCTTAAAGGGAAAATATTCAGTTTTTGTGACGTAAAATCTTGCATACAAACAAAAACTGTTTACACTTTAAAAAGACACAGTCCACGACTGTAATGTTGAGACTTGCGGGGTGAGGAAGTCTTCGGACTTCCTGCATTCCTTGCAAGTCTCAAGATTACAGAAGCGTACTGTAGTACCAAACGCGTTTCGACCTCAAAAGTTCGCCATCATCAGTAGCAAATTAATTCATATTAAATCATACAACTGATATGCAAGGTTTTTCGATTATATGACGTAAGCTAATTCGAAATGTCTGTGATTAAAGTCACAGAAATCTTTAAGAGCCCAAAGCTCAGGGAAACGTCCTGATTCTTTTGTGGATTATTTAACGACGTTTTGTCAACTCCATAGCTCACACAGCGTTTAATGGTAGAATATTTGTGAATGGTGATTTGCAAATGATTTAACATTAGTCGTGGCCCACTTTAAAGTAGACGCGTTGAAGTAACTTTGGCTTCGTCACGGATTAGTAACATAAATAACACCGGAGCTTAATTCCGGTAGTTTCATAAGAAAACTCCAGTTCCTACTGAAAGTTTCCATGGAATGTGTTACAAAAAAAATCATCTGTGAAGCTTTATTCGCCATCATCAGCGACTGCTGTCTCACCTTCAGCCTGAAAACAAAACCTGTATAAAACTCAGTTTCTGTGATTCCTTATTATTTTACATGTCTCGATGTTTTCACGAAGGTCTAAGACCTCTCAGTAAAGTTACTAGGCAGAAAAACTCTCATTTCACAAGCACTGTTTCTTATACTTTTGATCAGAGTATAAATAAGTAGACAAATGTAAGAAAATAATAAAAGAAATAATATCTCGTTAAATTTGAGGAGGGTATAAAGATGATAAGGTAATTATTCCTCACGGAATTTCAACAAAACAATTACTACTAACACCACCTCATCTAATCAATAAATCCTGTCTCCGTTACGTAACCCAAGGATTCATTACCACGTCCACACTCAATTTTCTTAATCCACATTTGATTATTACAATCAATACGCCTAGGTCTTCCAAGTCGTATATTTCGTTCAGATTTCAAAATAGTAACACAGGCCTAACAGAAAACTGCATGTATATAAAATCCAGTCGCCTTCAACTCCTATCTTCCATAGATCCCGCCTGAGATTATCCTCCCATCTACGTCTAGGTCTTCCCAGAGGTCTCTTCCCCTCAGGCTTCCCAAATAGTGGACCCAACCAACCAGATGGCTTACCGAACAAGAAGGTTCATCACCGAATTAACTAAAGCCCTCCACCGGACCCTGTCCTGGGCCAACAAAATCCAGTTTCCTTCAACTCCTATCTCCCATAGATCCCGCCTGAGATTATCCTCCCATCTACGTCTAGGTCTCCCCAGCGGTCTCTTCCCTTCAGGTTTCCCAACCAGTACCCGGTGCACACCTCTTGTCCCATCCATGCGCGCTACATGTCCCGCCCATCTCACTCTTCTCGACTTAATCACCCTCACAATACTGGGGGAGCAGTACAGATTTTTAAGCTCGTCATTGTGCAGTTTTCTCCACGCCCCATCGTCTTCCCTCTTAGGCCCAAATATCCTCCTCAACACCCGATTCTCCGACACCTGCAATCTGTGTTCCTCCCTCAGAGTGAGAGATCATGTTTCGCACCCATACAAAACAACAGGCAAAATTATTGTTTTGTATACTTTAATTTTCAGGTTCTTAGAAATCAGACGGGAAGACAAAATATTTTGGACTGAGAAGTAGCAAGCATTTCCGGAATTTAGTCTCCTCCTAACTTCCTCACGAGTATCATTTTGATTTGTTATTGTTGTTCCCAAATATTTGAACTTTGTAACCCTTTCAAAGGACTTATTAGCTACCCTAAGGTAATTTTGCCCGCCTGTCTGCTGACGACGAGATACTAACATGTACTTAGTTTTTTCTGAATTTACTTCCAGCCCCACGTGTCTACTAGCCTCTAGTAAAATTTCTGTGTTCCTGGAAGATTTTAGTACCTGCAATATTAGTAACTGGAATGTTGTCTTAAAAATAAAGTACCTAATCTGGCACGCAGTTCCAGGTTAAAATAAATATGAATAAATTACGATACTAAGCCGTTCTACTCCCACACTCGCATCTTATAAAATCTTCTACCCTGGAAATGTCGGGAATTAAACCAGCTTCTAAGTCCCATCGTCTGTACTACATACTATTACCAAGTTTACAGAGGGACGGGGTCTTCAGCCGTGGAAACTTTAGCAGTAAAAAATACATTTACGAATAATTTAAAAGATTATTATAGTAAACGAGTGTTCAAATGAAAATACTATATATTAGGCATTAGAAAATAGTTCGTAGTTAAGAAATAGAAAAGCAGGAGATCATATTTTCCTTCCAAAGTTTAACACGTACCTCTTTTAAAGCCTCGAGTTCTTCTTTCTTCTCTCGTTTGAAGAACCCCATCTGGAAAAAACACCAGTAATATCCATGGTCATCAACTACTCCATATTATCTCTGTCCACTAAGACATGGTATATAATGAATATCGTTACACAATTAATGTTTCGCCCGTAGTCTCCTTTCACAAACAAACTCTACTGAAATTGAGGTTTCATACATAACCCATAAGAAAATTACTGTCAGACCAATCTTTAATATCCTGTACCGTGGCACAGAGCATTTGTCACGAGTCATAGCACACCGTTTGATTGTTTTGCGTGAGTCAGGCGTGTTGACGAATCCAGTTGGTCGAAATCCGTGCACAGTAGCGAAGCAGCTGTGTTGTTTGGTGTCTCGTCTTGTGCAACGCAAATAATTTTGTAACTAACAAACAGAACCAACGAATCTAGAACTCGCGGTAAGTTTTTAGAGCCATACTTTTGTTTTTGCAGTCTGAGAAATGTCTTCCCTAACCTCTTTCGAGGAAGGACGTTACAGCAACCACCGAATCGCGATTAGTTCGACAGCGTAACCTACAGACAACTGCTAGAAACAGAGAGAAAGTTGGTATCTCTGCTGGTACGAGGTGCAATCGGAAAGTTTCTAGACTGTGTCAATATAGGGCGAACCGGATGTAGTACGATCTTCTGCCGCTAGGGGTTGCGGCCTACATTCATAGTGAATCAGTGTGCCAGCCGGCATCATCGAATTAGCATTTGTTTCTTAGTTACGGGCGTTTTGGTAGTGCATTACACCGACCCTCCTGCGATTTCGGAATGGCGTGTGCATCAAATTTGGCCAAAGACTCGCCAAAACGGCTACGGAAACCTATGAAATCCTAAAGCAAGCATTTGGGGAGTCCGCAAACTTTTGTGTGGCATTCACGTTTTAAAAATGACCGAACCTCTGTCGATGATGACGAGCGTTCTCACGGCGGTTGAGATGTCGATGTTGGTACTATGGGTTTTACGCCGTCTAGACTTCTCGGTAGATACAAATGTTTCGGAGGAACACTCCCTCTATCAACTTCACCCCCAAAGGTGGAAACAGTATATTTCACCAAAACGTTGGTATCTACCTACACGTCCACACGGCGTTTCAACGCAGAATATTATCACCGACAACCGTGAATAGATGGGACTGGGAAGAATTAGTTTTCCCATTGGTTTAGGGACCAAAGACCCTTCGATCGTCAAGCAACACAGTTACATGAATCGGGTAAAATTTGTCTCTTGGATTCAAATACTGCCGTTAACAATATCAGGCACGAAACAATGCGCATCGCAGCCTTTCTGAACACAGACTTTAAAGTACCGTCCTAACTACTATTCATTTCGAGAGACTTCTGTTTCTGGTCGAGATTATACAGTCGAATTCACACCGGAGCGTGGTTTTGCGGGGAGGTTTAGAGGGGTGTTCACACAGGACCATTATAGAGCTTTGTTTCAGATTAAATCCTCACATTACCAGCAGTGTTACAAGGTTTAGTATTCACACTAGGTTTTGAAGCCTCTAGCCAGTATTACCAACACCATCCCTTACAACTGCTCATCAATACAGATTATAGGACCACCCACGTTCGTTAGGCTACACCACTGTTCACTGTATAAGAGCATACGTTTTACCAGTGAAGGCATTTGCTTTCATGGTATTATCACTGAGCGAAACTGCCAGAGGTGGATTTACAGCCAGACGACGTATTTCATATTCATATTTTCGAATATTATTCTCCGGTCATGCAATGAACTAGAAGAGGACTTCACAGGAAGACATTTTATATTCTACCATTCCGATTTAGCAGACTGGTCTAATGTATAATTATTTTACCATCTGCAGAAATTAAATTCTGTCTTGAAAAGCAAATATTCTTTCAGCTGGTCAAAAATTCGCCAGATTTTATAAAATTTCGTTATTATCTGAGCGACTATTAAATTCTCAAGATGTCTATTGTGCGGGTATAGAGAATTGTTTTATACCCACGGTGGTCTAGCGGTTAGAACGCTGGCCTTGTAATCCTGGGGTCTCGGGTTCGATTCCCGGCGGTGCCCGAATTTATAACTTGTGTTGGGCAAGGCCGTGGTCTAGGCAACACGGAGTTTTCCTCCG